TTTATATGAGTATTTATATGAGTATTAGTGCTGGTACATTCTTTTATATTACTACTATTATAATTTTAGAAGAGGAATTTAATGATATAAAATATAGGTTTTAAAAATTTTTATTTTTATATTTGCGGTAGGATTAGTAAGCTGTTTTTGGTTTTTAGAAAAATAAATAAATCATAAACGTTGAATTATTTTATAAATTTATATAATATTATTAAAAAGTATATTTTAATATTTAAAGTTAAATAAACTAATAATTTATATAAAAATATATAGTATATTTAATAAAAATTAAATAACTTTATAAATATAAATATATATTATATATTTATAATATATATATATATATAATATATGTTTTAAATATATTATTTTTATATTTAATGTTTAAATTTTTATTATCATTTCAATTAATTTTTAAAAAAATAATTATTTTATCATCATACATAATATTTATATAAATATTTTATTTTTATATAACATTATTTATTTTATTTAATAATTTTATTTTTTATATCTTATATTAAATATTTTTTTTTTTTTGTATTATATTAATATAATTTTAATTTTTTATATAGAATTTTAAAATTTTTATTTAAATTTTAAATATAATTTAGATTTTTAACAATATTGTTTTAAAAATTATAATACTGCATAGATAATTTGTAAAATATTTAATATAATATAATTAGGAATTAAAAAAAATGATTTCAAGATGATTTTTAAGAAAATAAGATTTTTATTATTAAATTAATTTATAAATACTAATTGTTGAAATAATTTTCATTAAAAATTAATAAATATTATAATTAAATATGTATAATTGTATAAATAAAAAATATATGGAATATATTTAAGTAATATTATAATGATAAGTAAATTATAAAAATATAAAATTATATTTAATAAAAAATATGTTTATAATATTTTGTTAAATCAAATTAATATATTAATCTAAATAAAAAAAATTTTAATATAAATATTTATAATTATAATTATTTGAATAAAATAAAATGATTATTAATAAATAAAATTTAAATATATGTATTTAATTATGTATTTAAAAATAACAAAAAATAAATTATTATATTCAATATATTATTTTTTATATAATTAAAAATATATATATGTTTATAAAATTTATATATAATGTATACACAATGTATAAATATCAATTTTATATATATTTTTTAGTTTTTCAGTATTAAAAGACATTAAAATCTTATATAAATTATTTGATAAAAATTAGACCAAACTAAATATTATTTTAATAATATCTTTAAATATAAGATAATTTAAAATAAAAATGAAATATTTCATTATAAAATTAAATTCTATTTATCAATATTTTTTATCATATTATTAACCATAAACATGCCTAAACATGTTAAACAATATAAAAAAAATTCTTGATTAATATCATTATCATCTGAATTTACCTGGGTTTAATTTTTATGAATAAGTATATTATATTTAATATATTAATCTTAAGAAAATTTAAATTCGCATTACTAAGAAATATTAAAATATTTAAAGGCGGAATATAAAAAAAAAAAAAATATTTAATAATAAAAAGAGATAATATATATACTATATATTACAATGTTAGATAATTTTTATTAAAAATATAAAAAAATTAATATATCAAACAAAGAAGAGTTAGAAGAGATAAAATAGTAAAAATTAGAAGAATTGAAAGAACTTTACCATTTATTACATGATAATAGTTTTTAATTTAATATTCATACTACCTTTTATGAAGAAATCTATGTTTAAAAATTTCCGTGGTCATTTTTTGTAATTATTTGCACTTTTTCATTAATGCTTATTATAGATAAAGTTACTACGGGATATAATTCGATTAAAGACTATTAAATTAATGATGGTATAAAATTATAGTAGTTAATTATCAAAAATATAATATTAAAGAATATATAATAAATGATAATAATTAATAACAATATATATTTAAAAATAAATATATTAATAAAAAAAATGTATTATAACTGTAATTTTATAAAATAAAGATTAAATCTCTTAAAAAATGAGTATGTCGAAATAAAGTAATTATGAAGAAAATACACTCAAAGAAATAAATAAAAAAAGTTCTTAAAACTGTTTGCAATCTTATTTGCTATAAATAACGTTTGGATTTAATGTTATATTAGAAGGATTGGCTATGTGAAATGAAAAATATCTTATAAAATGTTTAGTAATATTCGGAGCTGTACTAATTCATAAATGGATTGAAGGATTAACTTTAGGAAATCATATGAAAAAATCTAATATCAATAAAAAAGTAACTACTATAATGATTATTATTTTTGCTATTATGAATACAATAGTTATAGAGATTAGATAGATTTTATCTAATTTAGAAAAACATTATATAAGTATTATATTAGTGCTGGCACATTCTTTTATATTACTAATATTATAATTTTAGAATAAGAATTAAATAATATAAAATGTAGGTTTTAAAAAAAAATTATTTTTTTAATATTGACAAGATTTGAATGCTGTTTTAAGAATAATATATAAATCATAAATTTTTTTTTTATAAATTTATATTAATTATAATAAAATTTGTATTTAGTACTTAGTGTAAAAAGAAATATTTATTTATAATTAAGTAAATTTAACAATAAAAATATTAATATAGAAAAAAGTTATATGAATAAAAATAAATAGATATAAATATATTTATATATATAGATATATATTTATTATATATATTTATATATATATATATATATATTTATAAATATATATATTAATTTATTATTATTTTTTTTATTAATTATTTTTATTTATTATATAATTATTTTTTTAATAGAAAATAATTATTTATCTTTTTATTCAAAAAATATTATTTATAAAACAAAAACCAAATAAATATAAATAAAAATTATTTAATATATTATTTTTCTTGATTTTTTTTTTTTTAAATTATTGATATATCTATATAATTATATATATATATATATAGATATGATTTTTACGTATAAATATTTTTATTATTTTTATATTATATATATAAATAAATGAAAATATTTTTAATAAAAAAAATTAAATCAACATTTAAATAAAATATGTAAAATTATATAAAAATAATATGTATTTAATATATCATTAAATAAATATATTTTTTATTATAGCATATTAAAAAAATATAAAATTATATTGAAATAAAAAAAATTAATTTATAGAGTTTAAAATTATAAAAATCAATAAATATAATAAAATTTAAATATAAATTATTATTTTTTTATATAATGATAAAATAAAATGATTCTTAATAAATAAATTTTTTACATATTATTTGTTATATTATTTATAAATAAAAAATAAATATATATTATTTTATTCTATTTGTTTATTAATTATTAACATTTATATTTTTTTTATATAATTATAAAAAAATAAAAAAATTATATGAATATATCATATAATAAATATATATATTAAATAAAAGATATTTAATTTATATATTATTTATTTTTCAATATGAATTAATATATTTATATATTTTTATTTTTTTATCAGTATTAAATGACATTATATTCTTATATAAATTATTAGATAAAAATTAGACAAAATTAACTATAAATTAATAATATTTGAAATTATAAGGAAATTTAAAATAAAAATGAAATATTTCATTATAAAACTAACATCTATTTTATCAATATTTTTTATGATATTAATAACCGGAAACATTCCTATACATGTAAAATCATATAAAGAAAATACTCGATTAATATCCTTATCATCTTCATTTACAGGAGGTTTATTTTTATCGATAGGAATATTATATTTAATACCTTAATCCTAAGTAAAATTTAAATTAGCATTACCTAAAAAGATTAGAATATTTAAAGGAGGAATATATAAAATAAAAAAATAAAAAATTAATTTAATAATAAAAAGATAGAAATAAATGAA